ATATATATATATATATATATATATTTATTCAACCTGAACATCCACCAATTGGATATAAGATTGCATTTTCTCTTATCTCCATCACTAGTGTGAATGTTAAGTGAGTGGCTGAGTTTATCTAGAAAGCTGAGCCTGATGCAGTGGAAAACAGGGCAAGATCATCCTAGGGAGATGGACTCTGAGGATACTACACCCAAGTTCTCTGAGACTGGCCTTTGTCTTGTCTTCTCCCAGCTCTATCATTAGGACTTCCTGATTTCCAGAAGCTCTCCCACCACGTGGGTCCTCTTGTACTGGAATGTGATGCTGTTCTCCTTGCTTTAGTTGGACCTGCTTGTTCCCTAATCCACTACCCGTTCCCCTTTCCCTCCAGTGGTAGGCAGTTTATTTGTAACCAGTCTCCTGTCTAAAGGATGCTGGGGTGTGCACACATGCAGGGACTGCCCACACACAGCAGGGTTAAGCCTCACAACAGAGTCCTGGATTTAGATCCCATGCAACACTACATTTTTTTAGACTTAGGTAGGACCTTCGTTACTTTGTTGTTGTTGTTGTTATTTGCCTTTAGTAGGAATGAAAATGGAGTAAGTAAGTTACCAACTTACAATGTGATGTGTTCAAATACAATTTGAGATTTACAAATTTTGTAGATTAAAGCATGAATCAGATGTTTAGAATAGGCATATTTCATCTCTAAAGTTGACCTTTATATTCTCACTTGTTTCAGCGAAGAGGAAGGAAAGCAAATCAAGGGCTGGGCAGTAAAGATCTGACAGTACTGTTTTAGCCAAATGGTATGTAATGTAGACGTTATAGTCAGTACCACTGAGGGTGTATATGTTGCTCATCTTAAGAACCATACCCTGTAGGAGTATAATTTTTCTATACAGACTCAGTTGTGTAAATAATGCCCTGTCATTAAATGTAAAGACAAAGTTAAGAACTCTCTGTGCTCTGCATTTTTATCTCAGGACAGTATTTTGTAAGATGTTGAACATAGATTTTCCTTTGCTTTGTGGACGTCTTATAGTTCCTTTGTTATAATCTTAGGATTAATGTTCTGAGATCTGTGGCAATTTATGTTAGAAAACATTTAATAGAAATTCTGAAACGTTATGCTTTTGCTCCTTCTCTCCATTTCAACTGCAGCTTGTAATAAGCATGTAGGTGCCGTGAAGTTTCCTTTGTGGGGTGGTAATTAATGGTGCTTACTGATGCATAGCCTGGAAATTTGGTTCCTGGTAGTACCGTGGATGAGAGAACAAGTTCATGCCTGGTTTATCACAACTATGGCTACAATCAGGGTCTTGTGATTTCTGCCTCATCTTGAATGACTTGTGATGCTGACTCACAGGCACGGTGGACTTGCCTGTGTACTCTCAGCTTTTAGAGAGTAAGAGCAAATGTATTGTGAGTATGTTTGCATTAGCCAGTGAAGTGAGAGAAGAAACACGGTCAGCCCTGTCTGACTTCTCTGTGAGACCACAAAGTTTCACTGCGAGACAATGTTATGTTTTCTTTGTAGTGATTTCCTCACAATTCAGAAATAGGAAATAAGTGGTACTTATTCAAATATATAGAATAACCAGATGTTGGAAGTCATTTGCAAATAATTAATTGAATAGGTTCTATTTTTAAATGATAGATTCCCTCTCCTTTCCTTGTGTTTATGTTCCGTTTGTGGTTAATGCATTTTTTTTTTTTTTTTTAACAGGCTAAACATACTTTTAACTGGCATGAACCCATTCTACTTCCATGCAGTGAATATAATTTTACACTGCCTGGTGACTCTTGTGCTGATGTACACCTGTGACAGAGCTGTCTTTAAGAATCGTGGGCTTGCTTTTGTTACGGCATTGCTTTTTGCTGTTCATCCTATTCACACTGAGGCGGTAAGTATAATTGGAACTCAGTGAAATAATGAACCAATAAAAAAAATGTATAAGCTAAACTGATTTTTCCCCCTTCCTTTCGAAATCGTGTGAATTCAAAGCTCCACTAAAGTCTTTATCTTAATATATAAATCATTCTGCTTGACAACATTTCTGGCTAAATGTTTAAAATTGCCTTTATTGTACCTCCAAGAATTAAACTGCTTTTCTAAATAACCACAGTTATTATTATAGATAGTAATAAATGGCCACAGTTTTTTATTTGCAAAAATTTAAGTCTTAATGTGTTTTAAACAGCAAGGGGCATTTTGAGATACTTCTCATGCTGAGTCATTGCCTCTGCTTTACATTTATATTTTTCCTTTTCTCACTCTGCTTTACATTTTTAATATTTATGGTGCAGAACTGTGAGTGCTAGAAGGAGGACCTTAAAAGCTAGAATGACATTCTTCATGTTACAGATACAGAGTTAGGAGAGTTAAAATTGTTTTCCAAGTTATGTTGTAAGAAGGACGGTTATTTTGTGGGTGTTGAGAAATTCATTTAGAAAGTATAGATAGTTTGTATCATTAAAAACAAAAACAACAGTTACCATGGAGTCAATTCTGACTCATGGTAAGCCCACATGAGTGAGCATAGAACTGTACTTCATAGGGTTTTGGTGGGTAATTTTTTGAAAGAAAATTGCCAGGCTTTTCTTCCAAGGTGCTTCTGAGTGGAATTGAACCACCAACTTTTTGTTAAGCAGCCAAGTCACAGTCAGTGGGTCATAGGCATTGACTCTGTATCACCCAGGAACTCTATAGCTGTCTTTAAAATATTTGCTTAATCATGAATCCAGACAGTGTTGTTTAGCTACCTTGTTTACATCTCAGCACCCTCAGCTGGTTTATTTTACATGTGATGTTAGGGGTAGACAAAGACTTTCCAAGTGGTACATGGGTCCCACAGTTTTAAAATAATTGGTTGCAGAGCTTCAGCTTGCATCTGGACTTCCCTAAAGTTGATCTGCCTGAAAACACAACTGTGGTAAAAATGGCAACTTGGTTCTCTCTTTGCCTTTCACAGTTTCCCTTTTCTCATTTTGCCAAAAGTGAGGACTACGTCTTATTCATCAGAATCTTACTATGTCCCAGGTGTACAGAGCCCTAAGATATAATACAAAGGAACAATTCAATATATCGGTGTCAGGAAAGCCTTCTTTAATTACAGCATCATAAACCCAATTACAGCTTCATATCTTTCCCTGTCTTTTACATACTTCTGTGAAGAATATGCCATGGCACTGGGAACAACGTATGGTGACCTATGTAGATGTTCTGAATTCAAAGTGGGATGGTTGTCATGAGGATGAATAATCATATGTTTGTTTGAACTGATAGAAGAAGTCTGATTTGACTGGTTGGTTTGATAATGAGAACTGGTCTTCTCAGGCTATTTGATGGACATTTTCTAAAAACAAAATACTAAATCTGTAAACCCAAGATTTTCACAATAAAACATTTAGAGAATGTAATAAGAGAAAAGAAAAATCATGTTATAAAAATTTTACATTGTCAAAGGTGTAGAATATTTTAATTTTCTCAAACCTTTCTGAGTATGTTCAACTGGACAAAGTACCTGTAAGTGAAAGAGTATAAAGTGTAAGTAATAGTCTTTTGGCAAGTGTTGGTAAAGCCTACTTCTGAAAAATTGTGAAAGCAAATGACTAATGACCTGTTACTCTAATGATGAGTATGCTTAAATGACTCATTTTCAACTAAATTAAAGGAGTACCTGGCTAAAAATAATATATGTGATTTTGTTAGTAGCTTTGGAATGTAAAGAATTAAGTCATTGGTATAACATGGTGACTTCCATTCTTATTTATGTGAATAATCTGTAAAGACAAAAACTAGGAGTAGAATTGATGCTTCATACTATTTCATTTTAACAAACAGATAATATTCTGCCAGCTATAACTGAACTTATTGAAAAGAAATGTGTTACACTTATAAGAGGTGCATTTTTGTATCATAATTCTCAGTGTTTCTAGTTTTTATGTTATATTTACAAAGTGGCTGTTAAAAATTGGAATAACTTAATATACAATTAAAAAATTTAATTCTTAGAGGCTCTGGTAGCATAGTGCCTAAGGCACTTGACTGCTAACCAGAAGGCTGGCAGTTCAAA